CCCCTCCGCCGCACCCCCTCCCCAAGTCCTGCGTCCGTCACGCTCCCCCTCCACACACGCCCACCTGCTCAGTAACCTCCGGCGCCAGATTACCCACGTACAGGTTAGTCGTGAACGGGTCCCCCTCGTCCATCGACCCCCCCATGCCCATCATCCCCATGCCGCCTGGCCCCATGCCGTAGCCCCCGCCGCCGCGCCCGCCGCCGCGGTCGCCGAACGGGTCGCCGCCGCGGCCGTCCGGGCCGAAGGGGTCGCCTGGGGGCAGGGGGCGGCCCTCTCTGATGCACCGCTCGCGCTCCTCCCGCGCCTCCTGCTCCCTGTGTGGTGGAGATGCAGCGCGGAGGCCAGCCAAAGCGCCGCCAAAGGTGGATTCAAGCGCAGCGACTATTGGCCAGTCACCACGGACGGGTTGTGCGGGCGGCTGTGACGAGGATCGAGCAGCCCAACAAGCGCTGCACCCTCTGCGCCGCAAGACAGCTACAATGGATCCGCAAAATGAGAGGCTAGACCCCCGCTGCCAAAGGGAAGGGGGGTTCAGAGGGTTTAAAGCCCCGGTTGATCTGAAAAAGGGCGTTTCGGATGGGGTTGAACGGCACCCGAGCGCCAGCCGCCGCGGCCGCGCTCCACGGTCCCTCAGAAACTAAAAAAACCCGAGGGACCAACGCCCCGCACCTTTTCAATTGCTCGAGCATCTTGTCGATGTTCCTGACCTTCCCGGCAGGCTTGGAGGCTGAGGGCAGCTGGAACACGCTGGCTGACTGCAGCGAGGGGTTTGTTTGAGGACGTTTGGGGGCCCACCGGCGGCGTCGGCGTTTGGGGTTGTTGGGGGGGGGGGAGATCTTGAGTCGGCGAGGGCGGCTTTCAAAGGTGTTGTGGGCGGCCCCGGCGATCAGGAGCGGGGGTCGCCGTTTGCGCGTGGTTTTGGGGTGGGGGTGCGCGAGCGGTGAGCTACCAGAGTGCAGGCTGCGGCAGCTGCTCGGCACCAAGACTGAGCGCCGGCCGAGACACACGTGCACAAGACGGCACTAGGGAGCACGTGCACAAACAGACACTCGCACACTTGCGCGCACCCACACACACAGAGACACAAAACAGAACGCGCAGCCCACTAGCACAGGGGCTGCAGCAGCCGTCCTGCCCCTCCTCACCTCTTCCCCCGCCGCACCGCCGCCGCTGGCGCCGCCGTTGGCGTCGCCGCCGCTCGGCTCCCTTTGCAGGGGCCCGCCCGACTGCGGCCGCGACGGAAGCTGCTGCTGCGGAAGCTGCTGGGGCGGCTCGGGGCTGTCGTCCCGCATGGCGTCGGGGATCGGGGGCACATACTTGGCCCCGGCGCCGGCCTTATTGGCTGGAAAATCGGATGAAACAACACGTGTAGAGGGGGATTTGGGGATTGGCGGCGGCGGCAATGCTCGAGGCCCGCTCGCTCGCCCACAGTGCTGATTTTGAGTGCCCTGGTTGCGCCCCCTCCAATCCCCCAAAGCTGCCCTCACACAGAGCGGTGGCAAACCTCCGGCGCCCCAGGCGGCCTGCTCGAGTCGGGCCGCCCCAACGTCGACGCATGCGCAGGCCCCACAGGCAGCCCCCAGCCAGCCAGACACACACACACATTCGCACACACTTAAACCCCCCATACACACCACTTAAACCCCCCTACGCACATGCACATACATGCACGTACATGCACACACAGGCACGCACATGCACGCACATGCACGCACATGCACGCACATGCACGCACATGCACGCACAGGTACGTAAAGCACCACTTGCATGCAAACAACATGCAACACACGCACGCATGCGTGCACATCCGACGCCACGCCGCCCCCCTCACCTGGTTCTGTCTGGCGGGTGCCTGGCATCACCGTCCCACCCCGCAAGAACACCTTCGGCCCGCCGCCGCCGCCGCCGGCCCCGCCACCGCCGCCGCCGCTGGCGCCGCCGCTGCTGCCGCCGCCACCGCCATGGCTGCCGTCTCGGCGG